GATGAGCTCTGAGGTCCCTTCCAACCCAGGCCCTTCTAGGATTCTCTGATTCTATGAGTGTTCAGGATCTTGACGTGCCGGAGGGTTGGCCCAGCAATCAACTAACCTGCTCTGTGTTTCCGTGGCACTCCCCCGTAGCTGGAGTGTGTCCTTCGGGGCTTTTAGGTGCTGAGCGTTGACGTGATCTCGCTGAAGACCTGTGTGCCTTCCCACCACGTGCCAGCAGTGACGTGCTTCTCAGGGAAGGCGAGGCTAAAATGAAGCTACTCTTTCCACCCTACAGGCTGAACTGGAAATCCAGAGCGATGCCGTGGAACCGGGACAAAAAGTCGTCATCGTAGACGACTTGCTTGCAACTGGAGGTGAGAGAAGCAGACGGTGACACCGAGCATGTGGAACCCATGGACACGAATTGCAGCAGGAGTGGCCACGGGGTTTGAAGCTGACCCCGGCGCCGCTCCTCGAGCGGGGATGTTTGCCCTCACCCTCTGTGTCGTGCAGGTACCATGTGCGCAGCCTGCGAGCTGATGAAGAGGCTGAAGGCTGAAGTCCTGGAGTGCCTGGTGATCATAGAGTTAAAACTCCTGAAAGGGTCGGAAAAGCTCCAGTCGGTCCCTTTCTACTCCCTGCTGCAGTATGACTGAGGGGAAGAGGGGAGAAGGGAACATACACATTCAGGGCTTTGTTCAGCCTTGATATCACGAGGGGGCGGGCAGGGGAGGGAAAGCTACAATTTTATTTTGATCCTGGGCAGATGCGATACGATCTTAAGGCCTCTTTATTTTCCAAACCGCAATTAAGGTGTGTTGAAGTGTAAGGATCCTTTTCGGAGTTCATCCTTTTGCAAAGAAGGAACAGCCTGATTGTTTTGTGAGACGGAGACCAAGGTGCAGTTTCAGATATTTTTCTTTTTTTTTTTTTTTGGAGACCAAAGTGTAAATGCTGCTGCTGAGGCAGGAGGCATCCGATAGCTTAGGGGGCTCAGCATTCCTTTTTGGTTCAGCCCAGCCTGGTCAGCCTCCTGGGAGCCTGTTAAAAGTTTGCCAGAGAAACACAGAAAATGGGAAAAAAGTGATTATTTCTCAAAGGGATAAATCCCTCTTGACCTCAGAGGATGGTCTGGTTGCTCTTTGCTGTTCCTCTTAAGTTGAGGTAGTCCTGGTTAAGGAGGATTAAGTGCCTGCCCAGTCCTGTGTCCTCAAATCGGTTGGCAGCCGCTGCCAACGCAGCAGAGGTCGCTGGCGGTGATGAGCTCAAACGCTGCGTCAGCTCGCAGCTCGGCTTGTGAGGAAGCTGAAGGTCTCCGCTGTTGGAAGCCACCTGCCTTCCCTCAGTCCGAGGGAGTTCCTACCAAGGGATTTTGCAAAACTAAGAGCAATCGACATCACGAGTGACGTGGTGAGGAAGGTGCTGTTGTGCATGCTCAGGGTCTCTCCAGCACCTCCCAAAACCTGCACCTTTGGTTTAGCACAAATTCCCCACCCGCTGCTACATCTCTGACTCTCTACGCTGCTATCGTCTCCTTCTTGGGGCATCACGGCGTTGAAAGGACCGTGCCAGTTGGGAGCCTGTTCTCGTTGGTATGTTCGGTGTCAGATAAAGCCACAGGAAAGAAAGAGAAGGCGTCACGCTCACAGCCGAGCTCCGGCGGTCTCTCTCAGGTGACGGGTTTGGAGATGCTCCCAAGAGCGTGGGTCACTTTGGTCACAGGAATAGTTAAAACCCCGCGCGCCAAAACTTGCACGTGCCTGAAAACATCAGGGATTGTGTCCCTGTCCTAGCAGGGTTGAACTCACTGGTAAAATAAACGTTGACTGACTTTTTTCTAAACTGTTTCAGGACTGTTCTTGCCGTAGCTAGAGCCGTTAACTCCCCTTGTGAGCGTCTCCTTCCAAACCCAGGCTGTCAGGGGAGAGCAAGGCTGTGGCGTGAGCTCCCTCTTGCCTCCCTGAATGCTTGGAAGGAAGCACTTGCCAGGACTGAGCAGTTCAGGTATCGTTCTGGGTGCCTGGCACCAGCCTCAAGGTGGATTTGGGGTACCGAGGCTGGTCCTTGCTGGGTTGCAGTGGAAGTGCCCAGCACCGGTGGGAGCAGAGATCAAACCCCTGCAGCTCAGTTCAGGATGCCGTGCACCCCGCTTTTATACTCCTAAGGACTGTCACTGCTATTTTTATCAGTTTCCTGAAAAGCCACTTCAGTGGCTGCTTGGTTTGCGCCGAGAAACACCGTTCCCCGGGGAGAAACCTACCCCCGGGGCACTTGTTTTCGCAGCCAGCCTCTATGCGGAGCCAAGGCAGCATTCTTGGCACGAGGAGAGGGCCCCCGCTGCGAGGGAGAGAAGG